TCTTTAATAAAAACCATATTTTCACTCCTTGAATCTGTATCTTACCAATCATAAGATATGAGATCCTTCCCATTCGTAGGCGATAATTGAATTGAGGATCCACAGAAAAAGAGATTGATCCAATCACCACCATCGTATCGTCACCATAAAAATCCGCTTGAAATCCCACCTCCCTTTTTCCCCCAATCATCCCGCAATCTGTCGCTATTGTTTCTGTTCATAAATTTTGTAAATTGCTCACGTTTTATTGGTTATTGATTGGTTTGTCAACGGTCGTATTTTTATCAAATTGAATGACGTGACTATGGGACGTTCATCTCACAGTAGCAATAATGGAGCTATTTGGTAATGTTACCGTATGAGAAAGATATAATTTATTTCTTGTTTTTGTGTTGACTAAGGTTAAACAAACTATATATGTTATTTGCAGATATAGAATTAGCTATGGGCTCAGATTACAATTCGGTTTACTGATGATTAAATCCAGAAAGATTATTACTATTTTCGTCATTAAACAGTCAAGGTCATTTTAACTCTACCAAAAATGCATAGCTTCCAATAGAAAGTAAAATTACCAACGTTCATTTCCTTACACAAAAATCATCTAAATAACATTAAAATGTGTTAATAAAAAAGTGTTACTTATACGCACAGAGCTCACTCTATATAAAGAACCATTTGCTCTAAACTTATTCTCACAACCAGAAGTAAAACACTTCCTACAGAAACATCCATTACATATAGTAATCAACCTTAAATGGCGAAAGACGCGGAAGGATCAGATGGACTCGCGGCGAGGGACTACGAAGATCCGCCGCCAACTCCGTTTTTCGATGCGGAGGAGCTGACCAAGTGGTCTTTGTACAGAGCCGTCATAGCCGAGTTCGTAGCTACTCTCCTCTTCTTGTATGTCACTGTTTTGACTGTCATCGGCTACAAGATTTCGTCCGACACTAAGGCCGGAGGTGACGAGTGCGGTGGCGTCGGAATCCTCGGCATCTCATGGGCTTTCGGTGGTATGATATTCATCCTTGTCTACTGCACCGCCGGTATCTCAGGTATTACCATAACAAACCAGTCCGGTTCATATCGGTTCAGATTATTTTAATTTTTTTTTTTGACAAAAAAAATATTAGGGAAATACTTTTAGGAAAAATAGGAAAATTATACGTATAATGACAGACAATATAGTAAAATAAAGTGTTCTTTGGTTTCTTGGTTATTTGATATTGATCCCAAAACTTTATGAAGGTGGTCACATAAACCCTGCTGTGACATTCGGCTTGTTCGTGGCAAGGAAGGTGTCGTTGGTTAGAGCGGTGCTATACATGGTTGCTCAGTGTTTGGGTGCTATTTGTGGAGTTGGGTTCGTGAAGGCCTTCCAAAGCTCTTACTACGTCCGTTACGGAGGAGGAGCAAACTCTCTAGCTGATGGATACAGCACAGGGACAGGACTCGCTGCAGAGATCATTGGAACGTTCGTTCTTGTCTACACTGTTTTCTCAGCTACAGATCCCAAAAGAAACGCAAGGGACTCCCACGTTCCGGTTAGTATTTTTGTCATCAACTACTTGCAATTACAAAACCAATAGTTAACATGTATGTAATCGAGTGCCTAATTAATTACACTTGTGGTTATGAATTAGGTGTTGGCACCACTTCCTATTGGGTTTGCGGTGTTTATGGTTCACTTGGCTACTATTCCAATCACCGGAACCGGTATTAATCCTGCCAGGAGTTTTGGAGCTGCGGTTATCTACAACGAGTCCAAGCCGTGGGATGACCACGTATGTTTATCAATATAAGAAACTAATTAAACTATACTTATATTATTTTGTAAAGGGGAAATTTAACTGGATATTTTTGGTCTCATATAATTACAGTGGATTTTCTGGGTGGGACCATTCATCGGAGCTGCGATTGCTGCATTTTATCACCAATTCGTCCTAATTAGAGCCTCTGGTTCCAAGTCCCTCGGATCCTTCAGAAGTGCAGCCAACGTTTGAGTTCAACCACACAAAAAAAACAAAACAAAAAGTGGTTACTGTTATGTATAAATTGGGCACGTGATTTTGAAGTGTGTCCTCTTATGTTTTTTTTTTTTCTTTTCCTCTGCTTTTATTTGTGTGGATTCCAGTTGATGGAGTTTGAGTGTTTTACGTTTTCTATGTCAGACAGTTTGTTTGTCTGTTTATTGAGAAAAAAAGTTGACCACATTGCTTCTCTTATTAATCTCCTTTCTCGGTTTCTCTCCTCTAAACAATGTGTAAATTGATACGTCAGCTCCCACTCCTCATCGGACACCGGATATCTCCACTAACTAGTAAGTGATAAAATCAAAAATACTCAGATATGAATAACTAAATGCAACGAGGAGGTTAGCATAAATTAAGAAAAGACCTTAATTTGTTAGTATTCATTTCCCCCATTTCCGTTTACTATAAGACTACGAGAGAGGAAATTTCCAGAGATATCCTTGAGTTTTTAGTAGATGTCACATAACATTCCTCATCGTAGTGTCTGACCAAGAACGCAGTGTCAGTTCTTTAATACTATGATTTTCTCAATGTAATAATATAATGTGTTCAAAGCATTGGCTAATTCGAAGGATAATTATACTCCACCCTTTATTTACATTATATACTAGGAAAAATAGATTAAATAAGATTCCTCTGAACATTATCTTTGTATGCTAATTAGAAGCTTGCTAATGACCAGAAGTTGAGAATAAAGGAAGGAGACACTGCGAACCAGCTGATGAAGGCCATTGCTACGGCAGTCTCAAACCTTGTGCACTGGTTAACGTCACATCTCTCAAGATCGTTGATGAGTACGGTTATGCCAGCTGACGCAGATGCAGCTGCAAAAGTAAGTGTGGATGTGATCTGCAACAACAACAACAACAACAACAACAACAACAACAATGCTATGAATAAGATCAGACAGTCACTTGGTTGCCTCGTAGTAACTAACTTAAACACACATAAAGAACTTCACTTACTCCATCTCCAACTGTGAAACACTGAACAATCAAGAGATTTCGAAGGCTTCTTTTGACGAGAAGCGCATAAGCATCGATGATAAAAAGAGACAAGCTCCACAGGCTTTGCAAGCTAGCCGCAAGAACCAAGCAACTGTCACACATGAGAGTTTGTTATATACTATGTTTTTGTCTTAAATCAAATTGCTCAAACCCTAATAAGCAAACGTGTACATCACACCAATTAGATTACCAAAAAACCCTAATTTTCCATAGAATTACTTCAAATCATCAAAGGCATCTTAACTTTTTTTTTCAGAATTTTAAATCAGGCTTGGGGGGTTTAGAGTTCCGTTACCAAAAAGCCGTGGCGAAGCGGTAGTCGGAGTTGGTGATCATGACGGAGACGGAGATGAGAGCAGGAACGAATTGAGATAGGCGGAGGATGAGACCGCCGGTGGTTCCGGGCATGCCTTGAATATCCTTCATCCTCGGTGGAGGTCTTTCGTTACCGGGCGGAGCTACCGGAACCGTATCCACCGGGTGAACCGCCGGTCGGCTCACGTTCATCATACGCTGCTTCAGAAGTTTAAACAGTTCCAGACCGTATAAAAAGGCAAGACACTGATAATTGCGCTACTTCTGTCTTAAAAATAAGTTTAGTGGACTAATTGTCGAAGTAAAATATATTTACTCTCTTTTTTTTTTGGTGGTCAAAAGAAACATATATTTATGCGATTATAAATATATTTCTATATATTAAAGCTAACTTTAGCAAATACATTTTCTTACTAATTTTATAAAGTTATTAGCTGAAATTTATTGTAACTTTCCATTATTTTGTATAATTATTAGTAAATTACGTTTTTGGAAATCTGAACCTCATACTTTCCAAATGTCAAAACAGTAATGAATTTCCAATCAAACATTAGACCAAAAGATGTTTTCATTATAATTTGAAATAAAGTCATATTTTAGATTTTTCTTTCCTCTGTTTATTTCTGCCTTTCTTGTAGTAATGAATATTGAAATTTTCTTTGGGAACGTGAGTACTGAATACATAAATGAAATATTTTGAGACGAATGTGGGATAACTTTTTTTTGTTTGATTACAGAACAGAGTTGGTGATCTTACAGATATCAGAAAACATTTAGTTTGGAGTTAAAAAGGATAGCAACTAATAATAATTTACACACAATTTCCCACATAGTGGAAATTATTTTTAACTCACCCCAACTAATCAGAATCTATTCCTTCCTTTTTTTAGTAAGATTGAAATATTTTAAATAGTTATATAGATAGATATATTAGATCTTGATATCTTGATCATTCTTCAATCCGTTATGTCTCCCAACAAAGCTTAGATGCAACACTTTCAGGGCAAGGTGCGTATTCCTGCAACAAAAACAATAATGTATTATGAGATTATGCAAAATTTGAGAAAACAATTCATCTTTATTTTTAAAATTTATTTACCTCTAGCTTTTTCACAAGCTCTTTAGCAGTAGGAGCAGAGACGATGATCTCACGAGCAGTCGTACTGATAAATCCTTCTTCAACTGCTTTATCGATGAATGAGAGCAGTGAGTTGTAGTATCCATCAACATTGAGCAAACCCACCTACAGAACATTTACTTTTAGTGATTTATGGTACTTAAATCTTTATTTAAATTCTGAGAGAGTGTTTGTCCTTTTTTTTACCGGCTTTTCGTGTATTCCAAGCTGAGCCCAAGTTATGACCTCAAGCAATTCTTCAAGGGTTCCATAGCCACCTGTAATTTTCACACAAAACCTTAGATTTGATTTTTCCTTTTTAAAATAGCAGATTAATCTGTTAATATGATATGGTCAAGTCAATAAGTGTCATGTACAAGAGAAAACGTAATAGAGA